TTTGCTCCTCCATGAGTTGTGTAAACATCGACAACATGGTCGTTGTATTCATGGTTCCACCAACCATCGTTAACAGAGAAGAGAAGAGCAGAAACTCAATAAAGAAAATCGAATAAACAAAAGTGTCCTCTTCTTGATGAGTGGGGCTTATTCCACTCAGGCGCTGCTCTGAAGTGACTAAAATCGTCTGGGTAACTTATCTGCGAGTTCAGGTTCTCTGGTCGAAGTCGGATAAGGATAGTCGTTACTTGGAGATAGTCGTAAGTCCAGCGTGATCCTCAAAATATCCTGATCGCCACTGTTGTGTTCCACTATTGTCTTGATAGCCTTGCAGCAGTATAGATACTGGATACGACGTTTTATTGGAAAGCACTGCCGATACAGCTGGAGGCGAAGTAGACTGAGTAGGAATGAACTACCATCATACCGAAATATCATTTATATAGCTTCAACAATATAAGGATAAGACCACTCTAGTGGTTATCATAATAACCACCGCTACACACAACACCTTCATTTATTATATATGTTAATTAGTTCAGTGAAGTAACGAAATGTTAAGGCACATCAAAAGTCACATGCTCGTCTTCATCGGACTACTGCTACAACGCTACGGCCGATCTTTCCCAACTGAATCAGTTGTCAATGGCGGGATGTTCGACAACGAGATGCTTCGTTGGTTTCTCTTTTTGTGCTCTTGCCTCTTCATTTCATAATAGAAGGCAGCTTCAGCTCAGTCGAAACAAATGCATCACCCAAATTCTTGGCGGTAAAGAGATTAAATTCTGTTGCTGTAACACTGGTGACCTCTGCAACTCGAAGCTCACGGTCAGTTTCCATTCGCTATATTCTCTCCCCCATCATTTAGAGCTCATTACCAAACACGAAGTAATTCTTTTTTCAGAATCTCTCGTTTTTTGAGAAAGTGAAGGAGCGCGCCAAGGGCTTTTTAAAAATCATCGGTTAATGATGGGCCATTCTGAAAAGCCGATTCGAATAAATACTGGGTTCCATCACAAAACGTGTGGTCTACTTTACTTTTTTACTTTTGCTGTGGTTCTTAATTTTTGTCCATATATGTCTATATGTATGTTTGTTTTTGTCTTATCCGAGCCGACGGCTCTAACGCAAGGTGAACGACCCATACAATAGCGATGAGGGAAGAAAACTTTGTTTCAACGAATCATTTTCATAATAAGAGCGCCACCAGTCCAGCCTGCTCCCATTGTGGCTTTCACATAGAAAAATGAGCTTTTTACCATCGAATGTGCTTTCACTTCATTTCTTCTTCGCTGAATTACTTTCTCGCCGTTCACCTGACAGGAATCAGGAACAGGAACAGGGCCGTCATTTCATCCAGGAATACTCAAAAAATTCGAGCGTCAGCAATGGACCGATTGAATCTTCCTTGTCACATGTTTTGAATTAAGTTGTTGTTGAACTTCCGTCGTTCAGCTTATCGAATGAAAAGCCAATACCTTTCACCTACACGAAGCCGGAACGTGGGAAAAGGGGAGAGAAGCCGCCCAGTAAAAAGCATGAAAATAATTCTCTTTCTCTCTCTTGTTTTCACCGGGTTGCAAAAGAAGAAAGGCTCTTCTTCTCACATACTGGTAAAAATATAGAACTGAATACAATATTGAGAAAGCTTAGCACTATCTCGACATGTCCCTTATTTTGCGAATCCTTTCGCCCAGTTGTGTCACTTATTTTGCGAATCCTGTTTACACTTGAAGTGCGTAAATATGTAAATAAATATGAAATACGTGTTAAATTCTTTACTATGAGTTCATGTACTCACATTTGCCGCGTTAATTGTAAGAACGATTCAAAATCTGAAAAAGCAGCGTTACTCTCGTTGGTTGATCGTTTTCAACCAAAGAATTCACTTGATCACTGTTGTCTCTTTCTGTTCGACTACGTGTGCATCATAACCACGAGCAAATTCAGGGTGCATGGTCGTGGGGATATTGTCATGAGCCATGAACTTTCTCGGTATAGCAGTAATAGTATATTTACTTCTATCCGGGAAGTTGGAAGAGTTTCGAACAAATGTTGAGGTATATACTGAAGTCCAATTAAAACAAGCAATAACCCATTACACGACAACTGGATGAACAAAAATTTTTTATAGTAATAAGATGGAGAGTAGATCATTTTCACAAAGTTGAAATTAATGGCCGTCATTGTACATACAAAGTGGGAACATCGAGTTTTCGCGAAAGTTACTTCTGAATTTTCTAACCATAAGATTAGCAATCGCGTTTGAAGGTAAGTTTTTCTCTGAATTGAATTGTCGTGTCTCTGAGTTGAAATGACGCTCGATGACTGGTGTTATCTGCGATAAGAAACACCAGACCTTGGGTCCTATAGAACGCCATATAACCAGTAGCGACTCACGGTGTTGCCTGTGACAGGAAGAGCTGAAGCAGTAATGGAACGAAAATGTTGCGTTCGACGGTTGGAGTCGTGCGTTGAGACTGCATTCGCAACGGATGCAATGAAGGGAGTAGTTCGGAGCAGTCCGTATTGCTGATAAAATCGCCTAACTCGCTTCAAACGGTACGGCCATGTCCTACGCTCGTACCATGACAGGTTTGTAGGATCAGCCTGAGTCTCGACGAAGCCAGAAAAGGTCTGAAGGACTTCAAAAGTGCTTTCTTGATACCTCCCACTTGAACTTGAAAACTTGAAATTAGTGGCCCTTACACAAGAAAAGCGAGCCCCAGGGCAAACATCTTCCCATGTCAAGGCATCATCTGTTCACGGTTTTTGCTACAATTTCTGCCCCTCAGATATCTCCATAGAAAAAGTCCATGTGGACGTTGTTAAAGCAGTGGTCCCACATGCTCTCCTCCACAGTTCCTTAGCACTTTCAGTATTGTAATAAAATTTCCTTCAACCTTTTTTTCTTCTCAGTTTAATGATTTATGGCTACATGTGTCACAATATTCTACTTGAACTGATAGGCGACGCTAGCGACTCCACTCGCTTGCAGTGTCAGTTTAGTTTGACGATGACAATGACGGTATCTGGAGCCTAGACATTGTGGATGTGATTCAGTGTTTGGAAGTTGAAGGCTTTGAACTTGCTATCTGCTGTTCATAAACAGGTTTTTTATAGTCTTTTCATCATTAAGCACATTTTTTGACACACTCTATGTTACGTTCAAATGGGGCCTTGCGAGGGAGGTTGAGTACTGTATGTACATCAACCTCCGTCGCGAATTTACACGCAGTTTCAGGAAATATCACTCATTTGGTCATTAATTTTCAGCTTTGTTCCATTAAGCATGATACTCACCAAGGAGGGGTAGTCTACTTACCGTGGGACTTTGAATGGAGA